GAACGTAAATGTTTTGTCAAGACTTCATCGTACATGTTTTGTCAAGACTTCTTCATCGTAATGAGCGTAAATGTTTTGTGAAGAATATAGCAACAGTCTGAATTCCGACGGTTGCTTTTTATACAAAATTCATGCAGGAAATTCTTGAGTTTTGGTTGAAAGAATACGGTGGAGCCAAAAGTGGCTCGACCTCAAAACAAGCATTTTATGAGCTTACTAAGGGTGTTATGAATGAATTCAAAGGTATTTACATACATCCTGACCTCGTTCATTTTGTTGCTGAATTCAGCAAAAATAAAGTTTATGTTAGAATGTTAGATCTAACACGTTTTCTAACACGTTTTCTAACATGGTCTAAAACTCTCGAAAATCATGAAATTTACACCAAAAATAATGTTTATGTTAGAATGTAGATCTCACCTGTTTTCTAACACGTTTTCTAACATGGTCTAAAACTCTCGAAAATCATGAAATTTACACCAAAAATAATGTTTATGTTAGAATGTTAGATCTCACCTGTTTTCTAACACGTTTTCTAACATGGTCTAAAACTCTCGAAAATCATGAAATTTACACCAAAAATAATGTTTATGTTAGAATGTTAGATCTCACCTGTTTTCTAACACGTTTTCTAACATGGTCTAAAACTCTCGAAAATCATGAAATTTACACCAAAAATAATGTTTATGTTAGAATGTTAGATCTCACCTGTTTTCTAACACGTTTTCTAACCTCTTGAATTTTCAAGACTTCTTCGTAAATGTTTTGTCAAGACTTCTTCGTAAATGATTTGTCAAGACTTCTTCGTAAATGTTTTGTCAAGACTTCTTCGTAAATGATTTGTCAAGACTTCTTCGTAAATGTTTTGTCAAACATGAACGTAAATGTTTTGTCAAGACTTCTTCATCGTAATGAGCGTAAATCAGACAAAAATAAAGTTTAGGTGAAGAAGTGCGATCTCACCTGTTTTTTCACCTCTTTTTTCACCTCTTGAATTTTCATGAATTTTCCCGAAATAAAAAATAAAGTTAGTTTTATTTTTTTTATTTTTTTTATTTTGTATAAAAAAATAAAAATGTCAACAATCGGCACAACAACACTTCAAACAACTACAGCACCAAACTCGTTAGTCATGAATCCAACATCTATGTTAGTAGAGATGAAAAGCTTCATTCCTTCTTCATATACTTTCGAAACAGAAATCCAGAAGATAAAGCAAGAACTTTTAACATGTAATTTAGACTGTAGTGCGAAAGATGAAACAAATGAACAGTATCTTTATGAAATGCAGGACATTATTGACCATTTACCCAAATTGCCTGAAATTCAGCAGCAAAAGCTCACTATTCCTGAATTCGATGAAATAGAAGTCAAAGCAACTGACTCAGTAGAAATAAAGAAGTTCATACGAAAGGTAAACTATGAGTTTCTAGGATTTCATTGCAACCATAAGGTTATGGACAAAGATTGCGACATGGTATATAAGAATGTTTCTGACATATATAAATCTGAAGAATTTAAGACCTACGACAACTTTGTTTCGTTAGTTGCTGAATGTGTTTGGCAGATAAGAGATAAAGATAAAAGAGGCAAAGTATGGAACAAACAGATAAAACCAGCAGCTTTTGAGTTAAAGAAAACCATTGACGCTTTAGTTGTTTTAGCAGGTAAGGTTTCAATGTATAACGCAAAAATGAACCCGCAATGTTCAAAATGTAAAGCAGCAATGAGGAAATATAACTACTCCGTCAAAGAGATAGAACGTATGAGAAACGACTATGCTGACTTAAAGAAAGAAGCAGAAAAACCAGCAGAAAATAAAATGGACATGTTGACATTTCTGAACAAAAACTATCCAACAGCAGAAGATTTCCTTCTGTCTGACGTCAAAAAGAAGTATAAAGAAACTTTCGGCATAGTTAAAACATTCGATATCCTCAGCGAAGAAATAGAAGCTACAAAACTGTTTAGAGTCATGAACCATCGCAACATATACCATGTAAAACGCTTGTAAATAGTTATGTTAGAAAACGTGTTAGAAAACGTGTTAGATCTAACATTCTAACATAAACTTTATTTTTGCTGAATTCCGTATGAAAATTCATGAGTTTTGTGTGTTTTAGACCATGTTAGAAAACGTGTTAGAAAACGTGTTAGATCTAACATTCTAACATAAAATATATTTTTGGTCATTTACAATGAAGTCTTGACAAAACATTTACGAAGAAGTCTTGACAAAACATTTACGAAGAAGTCTTGACAAAACATTTAAGTTCGATGAAGTCTTGACAAAACATTTACGATGAAATCATGACAAATTCAAGAGGGTAGAAAAGAGGTTAGAAAAGAGGTTAGATCTAACATGCTAACATAAACATTATTTTTGCTGAAAAAAATGACCAAATTTCATGAATTTCCTCATATGTTTGCTACCCGAGGAAAACCGAGGGTAGAGATTCCGTACGAAAATCGTAAAAAATTGCCAATAAATTTAAGAGGTTGGTATGTACATAGACTATTAGTAAATGCAGTTGCAGTGAAGGCTTACTTTACATCGTTCAGAAACCAAACATACAGACATTGGTTCAAAAACCAAAGCACACAAGAACTTTTGAGTGAAATTTCTCTAGACCGACTTTTTTCGGTCTAGCATAAAACTCATGAAAATCGTAAAAAAATGACCAAATTTCATGAATTTCCTCATATGTTTGCTACCCGAGGAAAACCGAGGGTAGAGATTCCGTACGAAAATCGTAAAAAAATGACCAAATTTCATTATATAACTGTTATTTTTTTACGAAGAGAACTTTGACACTTCGTCAAAAAAATCCCTGAAATCATATCTTTTATACAAGATAGAAAAAATAAAGTTAGTTTTTTGTAAAATATTTTTTTTATTTTGTATGTAAAGACATATATGACAAACACTGAGTTTGAAACAGTTAAAAAGATAGACAATGACACCAAAGTGGTTAGAATAGGTGATTTAAACGTAAGATACTCAAAGAAATACAACAAATATTCTTTGTCAGACATTTTATCTCCATCTGGAAAGAAAACATACCATTGGGTTGGAATTGCTTCTACTCAGAAAATTTTGACAAGAAATCCTGAGCTTATGATATCGGTAAGATTCTATGGAACTACAGCATATCTTATAGACAAAAGTCTTATACCAATAGTTTTGTTATGGTTAGACCCAGTTGTTGGATATAACTTCATAACATATGGTTCATTCGATACGGAACGTTGCAGTGAAGGCTTACTTTACATCGTTCAGAAACCGAAGGACTTCAATACAAAGAGATATAAGATAGGAAGAACATATAATATAACTCAAAGATATGACAGTACAGTCAATAGAGTCAAGGTTGTGTTCGTTAACGATATGAGAGCTGCTGAAACAGAACTACTCGAAAAGTTTGAGAAAATGTATGGTGCTCCCATAAAAGGTAAAGAAACGTTTGAAGTAGATGAGATAGATAAAGCTATAAAATTATTTGACGAAGTTGCTGAAAAATACATGTAAAAATAGCATTTATTTTTGTCTTTTGTGAAAGTCAGAAAATAACGCTAATTTTTTATAAAATATTTTTTTTATCCGGAATATAAAGACAGATATGTCAACAACAGAGAACACAACAACAGTTATAGTCCATGAAGATATAAATGAAGAATATGAGTGGGTTCAGTTTAACAAACAGTTACGTCTCATTCGTTCGGTCAAAGACGATATGTACCAAATGCAAAGTATTTTGACAGCATGTTTTGCTCCAGATACTAAACATACAGACGATTGGTTCAAAAACCAAAGCACACAAGAACTTTTGAGCGAAGCACAGCGAGACCGACTTTTTTCGGGTCGCCAAAACTCTATGAAAATCGTAAAAATTTGCCAAATGGTTTGAGAGGTTGGTATGTACATAGACTTCTTGTAAATGCTGTTGCAATGTGGGCTTCGCCTCGTTATGCTTGGTATATTTACAGACTTCTTGACGAAATTCATAGACAAGAACGTGAAGAGATGGAAAAGAAACTTCAAGCAAAAGATGAAGTCATTGAAGCAAAAGATGAAGTCATTGAAGCAAAAGACAAAAGCATTCAAGAAAGAATACCACGTTCGGTACCAAAAGGAAAGGAAAAGAACTATAAGTATATGATTTATACTGAAGAGATGGAGAAAGAAGAAGACAGAGATATGGTTATGTTGCATTTAGTCAGAAGAAACAACAAAAGCTTTTACGACCTTGCTAAGATTTACAAATCTGACAGAAATTGGTTCTATCGCGAAAACTTACCGATTTCAATGACACCGAATGAAGATGTGAAACAAATAGTTCAAGATACGTTACCTCAAACACACTATGATATGAAAGGTTGTACAATACTTACCTTCAAAGAAGATTTGCCATTGTTAAAGGAAAAAATAACAGAGTATTTTGACAACTTCAAACAAGTAGAGTAGATGAGCCATTTATTTTTCAAGCTTGACTTTTTACAATTTGAACTTTGTTTGCGTAGATATGAATTCTGAAAGAAGTATGAGGGTCTTGTATGACTTTGTACTTCTCCCATAGTTCATATCTGTCAAACTTACCTGCCATGGACTCTTTCATAAGTTCCATGAAATCGTCTTCGGACAATCCGGGGAAAAGTACAATGTCAGTAAGTATTCTCTTTACATCCTTACTTAAACTCTTTGCTGTCTGTACACAAATGACAACTGAGATGTTAAAGTGTCTGAGCTTCTTAAGAATTCGACACATATCTTGTTCTCTATTCTTTAACAAAGGATGAGAGGCGAAATCATCTAAAATAAGAAGACACCTATGAGGGTAAGTCTTCCAATCGTAAGATTGCAATTTCTTCGAAATGTATTCTATCTCTTTCTGTTTGTTTCTGAAGTGGTGTTTGTCTAATATTCTCTGCATTTCCTCATTTGGGTCTTTAAACTTAGAATTTATATACTCATTTATAGCATTATACTTCAAAACTCTTCTTTGGTACTTCTTTATCCAATCTAACAACTCAGAGTCTTTTATACATACTAACTTAGACTTCTTTATAATATCTTTGAACGAATTGACGGTTTGGTCAAATTGACCAGAAGTACTACAAATGACTACTAACTCATAGAATGGGTTCTTCTCATCTAGTTCTTGTTGTTGTGCAGCCATTTTAAGATAAGTGAAAGTCTTACCCGACCCAGGTGGTGCAATTAGACCTGTTATACCATTCTGAGCAAATAAGAACTTGTCATGTATAGGTTTTATCTGAGCATTTTCTAACTTCCTCTTGTTCTTGTTTAAAACATTCTCAAATTTCTTGTCAATGTCAGCAAACTTTTTTTCTAACATATTTTTAGAAAAATTAAAATTTTTATCTTTTAGAAAATGTCTAGCGATTTCGCTATCTATATTCGAGACAAGCTTTTCGACAGCAAAACTTCTGTCGACCATAAAATCTTACATAGTGTAAACAAGAAAGGTGAATTTGTTCTAAAGTTCTGTTTCTGGGAATATGACAAGAACCATAAAACATTAAGCAGAGCAGTCTTAAAATTTGTCAATGACAGACTTGTTGACAGAGATGACACCGATTGGAAAGATGAAGTCCAACAAAAGTTCTTAGAATGCAAAGAAGACACATGCGCTGTTCTTGAAGATGAAATAGAAAACAGAATAGAAGAGCTATTAAAGGACAAAGAACTTTTACATAAATATGGTTCGGAGAAATTTGACATAACTCCACCAGAAAAGAAGAAGAAAGAAAAGAAAGAAAAGAAAGTAGAAGAAGAGAAGAAAGAACCTGAACCAGTTCCAGAGAAAAAGAAATTTGACATGTAAAAATAAAATTTTATTTTTAGAACATTTCTGGGTCAATGTCAATGTTCTCTTCCTCTTTAGGAGTAAACACTGGCTTAGACTCTAAAATCTTTTTACCCAATTTACCTTGAACTTCAACTATCTTAGACTCATAATATTCATAGTCGTCTGCTTTCTTTGGTTCATAAGGTATAACAAGTTTGTATGCTTTGCCTTCTTTAAGGTTTGAAAACCTTCTGTCAAAACTTTCTTTGACTGCTAACAAACCTTCTATGTCTAAGTCTTCAAATTTCGCACCATTTTTAGTCACAATAGCAAACTTAACTGGTTCGATGTTCCAAACTTTGCTGAATGAAGACTTTTCAAAATGGTAGAAGTAAACATTCAAATATGTGAATGGGTCTAGTTCTTCTTTAAGTCCTGACATGTACTTATTTACTGAGATGAATTTTGCCATCTTTTTCTATCGGATAAAAAAAATATTTTTTTTAAAATTTACTCAGAAAAATTTTTCTTTGTATATACACCATTCTGAACATCTAAAAGACTTTTGACATTTGCCAAGAATGTACGTTTAGAAGCTGCCATATAACCATATTCTTGACAATATTGTTTATACGAATCGTACAATGACCTTTCATCTAAACACTCAAAGTCAGTTTCATCTATGAACAGTTCATATACACTCTTGTTTGCTTCTAACAATGTTTGTCTCTCTTCGGTATGTGGAATTTGTCTTGGATTGAACTTAGAAATATCTAATGTCATAAAATATGAGAACAAGTGGTTGTAAAAGTCAGATGTCAAAGTTTCTGCTAAGTCGTCAAAATATTCTGTATCTTGCATATGAGCTTCTGACGTTCTGACAACTACATATCTTCTGTCAAACTTTCTAACTTCATCGGAACAACATTGTTTGAAACCATAATGAAGTTTGCAACATTTTCACAAACTCTTTGGTCTTTATACTTTCTTTCAACAACTCCAACTTTGTCTGTTATAAGACTCTTCAAAGCATCTGAGTTCAAAACTTTTGTTGTATCTATACTTTGAAGTTCATTGCAAACTATAAGTTTCATATTCTCTATTGAGGAGTTAAACTTGCCACAGATGTTTTCTAAGTTTGTCATATTCGGATTCGAATAACCTTCTAACAGTTTGCACAAAATATCTGTAAAGAATGTGTTCTTACCAGTTCCTTGTTTTCCAATTATAATGAGAGCAGTTTCATTTTTAGCACTTGGATGTTGTAAGATGTTTGCAAACCAACATAAGATATACTCATAAACCTTTTCGTTTCCATTGCATATAATTTCTTTGACATGGTCTAACCAAGCTTCTATAATATTTTCTTTCCATTCTACTTGTTCGTATTTATATCCAGTGAAGATAGAATAGAAGTTTGGAGAAGGTGTATAAAACTTTATACCTCGAACTGAAAAATCTTCTAACTTTGACAATAAGATATCCCAAGCATCTAACATCTTCATGCCAACTTGTACGACTTTTATTTTCTTAAGTTTCTGTCTACATTCTTGTTCAGACACTATTGTTGCTCTTGGTTTGTTAAAGACAACATCCCATTCTTTCATGACATAACATTCTGGGGCAGAGTCAACATAAATGACTAAACGTTTCAAATTCTCAACTGCTTTGTTATAGTCTCTAAATGGACACATATTTCTGAATGCTTGGAAGTCATAAAAATCTGAAACATCTATTCTGTACATTTTTATAAAAATAAAAAAAATATTTTTTTTTATTCTTGACTTTGTTGTTGCATTTGTTGCATTTGTTGTTCTTGAGCTATTTGTTGTTGAAGTTGTTCTTGTAATACAATACTTTCACCAGTTGCATCTTCCAATTCGAAACTTTCTGCCGTCATTGACAAATACATAGGACATAAAAGTTTTACAGGAACAAAGTTTGCGTCAACTAATGTCAACGTTATACTTGCCAAAGTGTTTGAGTTCACTAAGGTTGAAAATTCTGCATTCGAATGAACAATAGGCAAACCAGCAGAGAAAGTATTGTTTATACGCATAAGTATCTTTTGGTCATAATAGTTTCTGTCGACATTCGAATAACACTTTGAACCTAAGTTTGAAACAATATATAAGATTGGTGTGCTTAATGTCAATGGAATAGACATTCCTTGTATGACACCTTTTCCTGTTATAGGAAACTGTTGGTAGTAAAAACCAGAAATAAGTTTTGTATTATAGCTCATATTGTTTATAGTAAACTCAGTCGGACATCCAAACATAATGAAACCTGCTCTAGTTGCAGCACATGTTACACCCGTACTTAAAGTATTAAATAAGTCAACAAAACCTGTTGGTGGTATATCTGAGTAAGTATCTTCAAAGGAGTATTTTTTACCATTCACAACAATAAAGTCTTCTGGTGTCAAAAGAGCAAAACAGGCTTTAGTCGTCATTGTGTTTAAAGTTAGTTTACAATATCGTCCTTGAGGACTTTGTAAGTTTGTTGTTATAGAATTATATGACTCAGGGTTTTTAGTCGTAATAGTATAAACCATTATATCTTCTGCCATTTATATATTTTAAAAGTTTTTCTGAAAGTGGAGAAGAACTTCATCTAAACTTTCACATGGCGTTTCTTGAAGTTCTCTGTCTAAGAAGTTCAAATATTTTGTAAAGACATAGAACTTTCCTTTGTCTACACGAACAAACAAAACAGGGTCTTTCATATCGTTCAAAAGTGTGTAAAGTCCTTTACATGAAATAAAGTCTATATTATTTTTCTTCAAACATCTTTCAAGAAGTTTTGACATTTTTACTTAGCAAATAAATTTTAATGAAATGTTGTGGTCGTCAAATATTTTTATGACGTCTGGGAAACTATACTTTAAGTTCAACGTTTCACCTCCTTTCATAACGTATATCTTGTCAATGACATTATATGAAACACCACAGCAACTAATGTCGGGTTCTATTTCTTTGATGTTTATATCGTCTGCCTCTGTCAAAAGTTTCAATAGTTCTTTCAAAACTTCATGAGGTGCAATGACATATGAGTTCACTTTTACAGGGTTGTGTTCGACCAAGTTTAACATTATACCTAAAGCTTGACAAATCTTCTCCTGAGTTTGAAGTTTGTCTTTCAGTTGTTGGTAGTCGTTTCGAATATCTGCAACAGAACTTAAGTCTCTGCTAACTTCAGGATATGTTGGTTGTTCTTTTACAGGAACAATTGTTATACCATCTTCGTCCTCGTATGGTTTCCCCACTTCAACATCTCTGTCTTTGACATTGACAACAACACTTTGACTGTTTGTTTGAGTTGGTGAATTTAACTTCACATCTGCCACCGCCATTAAACCTTTTGAAACACTCACGCTTCTATTTTTCGGAAATGACATTTTACTTAGAATAAAAAGATGGACGTATTCGAGTATCTCTTCGAATTGAAGCAGAACAAAGTTTACACACACAAACAATACAAATACATTGACAGAATAGTTCTTTATACAAACAATGGTAAATGTTATAGAATAGCAATATTTGCTGAACCAAAATATTTCCATAAAGCAAAGAAAGTTGGTATAACTGAAATGGTGAAAGTTCTTGACGTTGACAAAAATATAACAACAAAACTTACAGATATTTCTAAAGGTAAGTTTATCTTACAATATTATGTCAAAACTGGCGTACTGTCAATATTTGACGGAGAGAAGTCAGTTCAAGAACAACTTACTGACCTGCTGCCAAAATCTGCTCGATGGAAGCTGTCGTTATGCCAATCTGAGGAGCCCCAGCAGGTTTCATCGAACGAATCTTCAAAAGAGCATCTTCCGTGAAAAGTGCTATTGGTTTTGTAAACTTCTTTGCTCTCAGTTCATCTGGACCGTCTCTGTCACCAGTATATTGTATTTGTACAGTACCAACAGTTGAAATACCACCCATAAAGTCTTCTGAGTCAGCAAATGGAATGCCAAGCCAAAAGTTTGAACGGTCTCCATTTGTATATTGAGTTTTTTGACCTCCTGTATGAGTCCATACTTTCACATATGGCATAATAGAACTTTGCATTTCAGGGTTAATGGTTGTTGTGAAGTTGTTGTTAAAGTTCATAGCATCTAATGTCAAGTTGTATGACCTCATATCCTCAACTGTAGAATATTCTTCTCTTGGATAATATTTGCCATCTATGTTTATATGATATTTAATACCGGGGTTGTAGAAACAAGAATAGTCATTTATAGTTCGTCTGAACAGTACAAACATAGTATCTGCATGTTTCATTGCAGTTGTTAAAGCAATATCTGTTCTTGCACCTGGGTCAGCACTTTGGTTTCCAACTTCACCTGCAAAGTCTTTGACAGATATTTGGTGTATAGGGAACATAAGTGGAACTGCAATATATTTGGCAGCTAAAGCATTTGAAATATCTGGGTCCAACATATAGACTGCAAGTCTGCTTTCTATTCTCTTGCATTCAAACTTTTCGCATGTAAACTTAACTGGGTCCCAAGCAGTTCCAGCAGCATTGAAATAATAGTTTACTTC